TCCCCGCCTGCCTCTGACTCAACAGCTGGGGCTTATTCAAAGAAATCCATATGGAGAGAGTCCTGTCTTCTAGGGGTTATTAAACTGGGTTGCTGGGTGTATTACAAGGTCTCAGAAGACCCAAAGTTTTATCCAAAACTTTGAGACACACTCTCACACACACACACATGTGCTTTTGGGGGACAGGGGAAGATGATCTGTCACTATTGTCAGTTTTTTAAAAGGGCCTGTTATCTAGAGAGAGCTTGAAACTCACCTTTAGGAACTGTTAAGTGTATCTGTGATCTAACAAACCCAGAAAATGCAAAGAGGAGGGAGGTCGCCTCAGCCAGGCTGTGTGGAAGCAGCTGTGTGATTTGCCTGACAAGAGTCAAAACCACTAAGCCATTCAGGAACAAGTGCTCAGACCCCAAACCCAGAGATATGTCTGTAGAGACTTCATGGTTCTGGGGCAACAACTTTGGATTAAGAAGAAGGACATGGGGACTGAACAGGTGCCTTCATCGGTGGTACAGAAAATCGGGGTTTCTCAATCCTGAGAGAAGAGCAGCTCTGGGGATGAACATAAGGAAGGCCCAGCAAACGAGGCGATGGTTTTCTGAGCATGGGGCACCCTTGGCTGTTGATGGCCAGCATGAGAGCACACATCCAGGGAGACTCCTGCTCAGAGCCACTGGTGGCGGCACTGGTGATGAGCCATGAAAGAAAAAAAGAGACACCCTGTAATACTGTTACAGGGCTAAGCTGGGCCTTGGGGTTCGAGGGAGGCGGGGAGGAAGGGGCGGCAGGGAATGTGCCCCCGGTCCATGCCAGACACTGGGTGAGGTATCGTACTTGCCAGCAGTCATCTCCTCTGAGTCTCACAGGACCGGAAGTCTACGTAAACCCAGAGATGCTAAAAGGAGTACCTCAATGATGCACCCAAAGAACACTTAGCACATGTCTGCTCAATGTTAGGTTTCACTATTATTAGTATTACTATTCTCGTTATTTCATACCTCAAGTCTCCACTCAAATATGACTTCTTTAGGGAAGACTTTCCTTAACATCCAAACTATATTGGTCTCTCTTTACATAATCTCACAGGAGCCCATAATTCTCAGGATTGTAATTAGACGATATGCGTGTTTGGTGTCTTGTCTGAGGGACAGTAATTTACATGAGGGCAGGAGCGTTACGTGTTTTACTCGGGATCTGAGTCCGGCACAAGCCGGCACACAGAAAGGGCTCCATGTTGAAATGATGAACCAGTGTGTGAGATACTGGAAATTGGGAACGGGTCACAGAAAGCAACTAGTGCCTCGCTGCCATACAGATGGGGAAACTGACATCTGGAGGGACATACGGACTTACGTATCCAAGGTCACATGGCTGCGAGAGAAGGACTCAGGCAGAAACTAAAATCCCTAACACCGTGGGAGGCAGAGGCCTGGAAGCCACCCTCAGCCCTCAGCCCCAAGACCTGCCCCCCACAAGGAAACCACACGGGCTTATTTGCCTAGATCAACAACAGCAGCAAGAAGACTCTGGAGGACACGAAAATGAAAAGCACACCACTCCCTCCTGACCCCACCCTCCTGTCCCCCATACCGTCCTGCATTCAGGTAGCTTCCACTGTTAATGCATGGACTTCTTGCCTATGAGACCCTAGAGAGTTTCATGGCGACAGCTAAATAGCCACACTGAGCATCAGGTGGCTCTGGTGAGCAAGCCACCAAATCACTGGCCAGAACCTGTAGACCAGGGCAGTCAGTGCTCTGGTAGGAGGCCATGACAGGCATGGTGAGGACAGAAGGAGGGGGCGTTCAGTGCTGTGGAGTGAGGGAGGGGTTAGGGAAGACTCCAAAGATGATGATGCTTGAGCTGGACATCCAAGGATGAATTCATGGTCTACCAGTCAGGTAGAGGAAATGAAGGGCAGTGGAGGGAGAAGGAATAGCACAAGCAAAGGCACAGAGTTTGGCCTGAACTTCAGAAGACAAAGCAGGTGGGTGGCAGAAGACCTTGCTAGTCATGCTCGGGGTGCTAGCCTTCTCCAGAGGACAGTGCCGGCTCTGCAGGGTTTGCAGTCGAAAAGCGACTTGCTCCAGTTTGTTGTCTTACATCACTACGGTGGCAGGAGAGTGGCTGGACTGGGGGTGGGGGGTGGCTGGAGGCAGGACTCCCCCACTGAAGCTGGACTCTAAAGCCCAAAGACTAGGACCCAAATTGGTAACTCAGCAGGCTCCAGAAGGACCCAGTGTCTGCTTTATGCCACCAAAGTCACCCACTTCTTCCAATTCATTGCCCTCACCCTTCTATTGGGTGCACCTTGCTGCAGCAATATCTCACTTATCCAGAAGTCCCGAACTAATGACCCCAACTATCCAGAACCTAGCTGCCAGCCTGACAGGAGATGGAAAAGACCCATGGACAACCACATTTATGCCCCAAAAGTCATGCCCTGCAGGGCATGCACGTCACACCCAAGGGCACATGCAGGCTGCCACTCAAGCTTAATTATCTCTGGTAAGAGTAGACACCAGCCAGTCAGCCCAGCTGCACCACTGTCTAGCCATGTGGCCTTGGCCCTCAGTGTCCTCATGCATCAAATGGGGCAACAATTGTGGCTACTTCAGAGTGTGGCTGTGAAGGGTAGAAAATATGAAATACTGGGGGGAAAAGCAGAAAATGTGTCCTGAGCAGACCCAAGATACAAAAGAGAATGACAGGTAGAACCATGCGATATTTTCAAGAACTTACTAAATTAGGCACAATGTGCTACATTTATAAATGCAAGCAATATGTTTTACAAAGATTACCCTTAAAACTAGACATATTGAAAAGTTTTGGTGTTTAGAAGGTGGAATTACTGGAAGAATTAATGTATGCAGATTTACCTATGGAAATGACAATTCTTTGTGTACCTGTGTACATCTAAAGTGCCCCTCAAAATCTGTAAAATATCGTATTTAACAGAACCTAAGCTGCCATCAACTGTGAGATGCATCATTATTTGGTATGTCAGTAAGAAAGAAACACTGCTATCTATTACAATGGTAAGATGCCACTGATGATAAGATGCATCTTGATTTTAGAGTTGTTAAAACGTGAAAGTACATATACCTTCAAGTCAATGGAAATCTGAATATGCAATATGTTTGCTGTGTCTTCTTCCTCTTGGGCAGAAGTAAGATATAGTCTTTCCTTCACCTAATACCCTACCTTCATCTATGCCAGACACTCAAAAATTGAACATAAAATGTTTCCTTGGGCCTCCTGCTGATCACTCTATCTTGTCCCTCCAGAAGCTTCCTCTCTCAAGAAGCAGAGAGGCTTTCAGCCAAACGTCCTCAGATTCAAAGGGGTGCCACTGAGCCACCAGCTCAGCCCCTTGGATGAGCCACCTTGAACCAAGGCCAAGTTTGCACAGCTTGAGCTCAACTGAACTCCAGCGGGGGCCTCCAGTTCTAGGTTGCCCAGGCAAAAAACATCTACTGGCTGTCCTCTCCTCCTGACTCTCAGCCAGCAGGCCCCTGATCAGCGATTACCCTGGGAATGTGGGGCAGCCTCTGACAGCTGCCCGAGGCAGCCTTCACTGTGGAGCCTTCTCATCATTAGCACTCCAGTAACCCCAAACACGCTTGTGCCCAGTACCACCTAGTATTTTTGGAAGAAACAAAAGGAGGGAGGGGGAATGAGTAGGCAGGGGAGGCTGGGGTGGCCACCTCCACTGCAGCTTGGTGAGAGAAGATATTAATCACACACCCCCCCTAAGCTAGAGATAAGGGGGAAGGATTTCTTAAAACCCCAATGAGGCCCAGCACACAAAGGCCCCAAGCCTTCCTCCCCCACAGTCCTGTGAAGTTACTGTTAGAGCCCATTTTACAGACAGGGAAATGGACTGGGAGAGGGGTCAGGAAGATGCTCAAGGTTGCACAACTGGGCCTGGCTAGAACTCAGGTATCCTTTCCCAATCACAGGGAGCCATCCCCAAGCAATGGTTCCAGTATCATCACTTAAGGAGCGTATTCCAATTTTAGAATACTACGGACTCCAGGCCCCTGCCCTGGAGAGCTGTGCTATAGTGCGGGGACCTGGAGAAGGAGTGTTTTAACAAGCTCTGGAAACTTGTTCCTTTCTAGGTGGTCCAAGACCAGGAGGAAGGAAAGTGTGGATGGAAAGAATCAGCGCCCATGGGGGGAGGGGAGAGAAGAGCAATCCAGAAGGCCCCTTGGAGGCAGACCTGGCCTACTTTCAGTCCTCATTGTGCCTAAACCCACCCCTCCTCTCCGCACAGGGGCTTGCTAACTCACTAGATACCACATCCTGCTGCTTTCATCTCGCCTTCCTTTTCCCTCTGAATAATCTCCTTCCTCCTACTGACCTGAACTTCTTGCTTATTTACCCCAGGACTGGGATGGGCCAGCCCGCATGCGCAGGCGCAAACTTGCACACAGAGTCACGCAAGGTACAGCCAGGCTGTAAACACAAATCCACGCTCTGACAGTGCCAAGCGTGCACCTGTCTAGAAAAGCAGCCACTGTCTGGGGACCCACGCTCGCGAGCAGGTTCAGGCTGTGGCAGGCACTCTCATGACTCCCAGGTCCGATGGCAAAGGACCCCGGAGGCCAATGCTCCTCAAAAGAGTTCCCAGGTCGAGAGGTGAGACCCCTGGACTCCACTACACACAGCGGCCTGGGTAGACGGCAGGAAACCTCGGCCACACTTGAATCGCACAAAGGCAGGCAATTCAGCAGCGGCCACCTAGACAACGATAAACGGTCCCGGAACGCCCCTTCTGTCTCCAAGGTTATTGGAAACGCTGCTGTGCAGACCCCGTGCCCTGGCAGTGGCTCCTGTCCACAGAGCCGTAGGACAGCAGGACCAGTCCAGCCTTTCCGCTGCAGCCGCTGCTCTCAGAGCCCACTGCTCCCCAACTGTCCCCCACCCGCTCCGGCTCTGCCCGAGTCTCACGAGTGCCCTCGGTGCCTCCATGCCTGGGCCGCTGGGCTACATACCTGCAGTCCCCGCCGGGCTCCAAGCCCCCCTCCAGTGACGACTCCCTGCTATTTGGAGTATGGTCTAAACCACTGCACCCAGGCTGGAATCGCACGGCTGGTCCCAGCATCTGCCGTGATCCGCTCCGACGGAGGGCCGGGGGCGGGGCCAAACCATGGGGGCGGGGCTTTCTCTGGGGCGGGGTCCGGGTGAGGCAGGCCGCCTGGCGGGCGTCTCACGCCACCTGGTGGCGGGGCAGTGTGTGCGAGAGACTGTTCTAGTCTGTGTATCCTCGGAGTACCGCTGCACAGCTTCAGAGAAGTAGCCCTCAGCTCGGAGCCCAGCTGCCCTCGGAAGGAACCGGCCCTGACGGGTGGGCAGCCACGGTCGGAAGGTTGCCAGCACCAACCACCAGCGACCCCCGAGAATAAGGTGCGGTTCCACCAAGGCAGCGGAAGCGCGGTTTTGGCCCCGGCAGGAGAGGTGGGCGGAGCAGGAGAGAGGCTTGGGGTGGGGGCTTCGGGGAAGGAGGAGAAAGGGGAAGCTCCGAAGAGCTGCTTCCGTCTCTCACTGCGACCCAGCGCCCCACTTCCTTTTACTACTTCTATTTTCTTTCAGGGCTCTTAACATTTAAAACGCACGACTTCTGTGCAGACAGGCGCCTTCACCTTCACCAGTCTGCAGAAACCTTCCTGGAAGTATCAGCCAATCCAGACATTCAGCACTGCTGCCCCAGCGTCTGGCCTGACTTTCCCACCTGACCTCTCCAGTGGCTGTCACTTCATCCGTTCCTCAGCCGCTGGTCGGGGAGAGGGGTCTCCTCCAGAGTCAAGGCCCTCTTTCTGCCTCCCCTTCTCTCCTCACAGATGACGCAACAGATGTTGTTATACCAAGAGCTGGGTCACAGAATCCTGGAATCAAAGCGCATCCCTGTGTCTCAGTTTCCTCATTCACAAAATGGGGATATAGAAAGTTGGCTGCCGTGCAAGCAGCTCTCGCAATGAAAGAACAGCACTGCATTTCAGAGTCAACAAAGAGCAAGGCTGAAATTTTCACTTCCACTATTGAATGAGACTTTGTGTCACAATATCTGTGAGAGGCGTTCAAGATCCGCCACAAGGTTGTACGTTATTGTTGGTCAAAAGCCGCAGCCCTACCTGAGGCTTTGAGAGATGTGAGCACCAATGACTTTTCTTGTTCCTGGCTCCCTAAATACCAAGAAAAAGCAACTTCCTCAAAGGCACAAAAACAGAAAGTACCCTTGGGTGAACACAGAGAACTGGTTCCAGCCTGTCTGGCAAGAGGTGGTAAGGGGCGCAGAACCACCTAGGACTTCTCCTCATTCACCACTGAGCCCCTCCCCCATTTTACAAATAAGGAACCAGAGCCACGAAAGACCATGAGAGGACGCGTCTAAGGTCATATGATTCCGTGAGGGTGGGTGAGGGCTCTAGTCTCCTCAGCCCCTACCTTTTCACCACGAAAAGGAGAAGAGGGGCAGAAGGAGGTGGCCCAGAGGTGTCCGAAGTAGAGGGAAGGAAGGGAACTGCTCTGGAATGAGGAATAGAGTAGCAAGAGTGACACAGCTGTACCGGACTGACATATTGGATGATGAGATCATTTTGAAAGCTAAAGAAAATGCTAGGGAGGTTATGGCATCTGTGACTTCCTCCATGTCCTTGGTATTCCTAAAACTGAAGATGGAGGAAAGCTGAAGCAGAATTGCCCCTTAGCGGTCACTGCCAGCGAGCTGAATATCCCGTGAAGCCCACTTAGGCCCATCCTGCATTCCCTCAGAGTTCGGCATTCTCTTCTCCACCAGTAGGTGTGACCCACATGTTGAACTTCATGTTATCCCTCCCTCCACCCCTCATCCCCCACCCACTTAGCTCCACCTGTTTCTCCAGGCCCCACTAGGCAGACCACCAACCAGGAGATCTGATCAACACCTGACATCTGTTGGCCAAAACTTAGAACTACAGCCACTGCGGCACCTTCGACTCCCACTTCCTCAAAGAAGGGGCTGATGAGACTCAATGTGCCTGTCACTCATGTGGCACCTGATTTTGTATCACTTTGTACAGCTCTGTTGTTGCTTCACTTAAAAATATGTCTGTTTGTTATCTCTCTCCTGCCTTTCACTGCCTTATGTTTTCAAACACATCTACCCATCTCCACTTCCTCATCTTATATTTATTTTTCAATGCTCTGAAAATATGATGAAGGAAACCCCAAATACCAAATCCGATGGCCTCATGTCCTTACCTCACTTTAGCATTTGATGCTACCTCTCCTTGAGAATTACCCCCCCTTGACTTCTCCTCCTCTGGCTAATATTTCTGTTTTCTTTTTTCTGGCTTCATTTTCTTCATCATTTCTTAAATATTAGAATGCATGTGGTTTTGTTGGAGGCTGCTTCTCTTATACCTAGACACCCTGGCCCCTTCTCATCACACTGATCCCTTCCAAATCTACAGCCCAAGCTTCTTTCTTGAGCTCCAGATCTAGAAGTCCAAATGCTGACTGCACATCCATATCTAGGTAGCCCAAAGGCAACTTAACCACTGCATGTCCTGAAATGAGCTTCTCGTGTTTCCCTAAACTTCTTCTCTTGCCTTCCCTATCTCAGTTAACATCTTTACACTCTGCCAGCTTCAAAACTAGAAACCTCACTATACAGGTAACATACCCAGAGTATGTAAAGAACCCCTACGACTTGAACATAAAAAGACACTCTCATTTTAAAATGGGCAAAAGTCTTGAACAGATACTTTATAAAAGAAGACTTACAAAGAGCTGATAAGTGCATGAAAAGGTGTTCAACAGTCATTGGGGAAACTCAAATTGAAGCCACAAAGTATCACTTTATAGCCATTAGAATAGCTATATTAAAACCAACAACACCAGACGTTGGTAAGGATGTGGAGCTACTGGGACTCACCCACATTGCTTATAGTAAGATAAAATGGCATAGCTGCTTTGGAAAACTGATTGGCAGCATCTAATAAAATTGAATATATATCTTTCTCTGGCCCAGTAATTCCACTCTTAGAAATATATCCAAGATAAATGAATTTATATGTCCACACAGAAACATATACATGAATAATTATACCAGCTTTATTTATAATAGCCCAACACCAGAAACAACCCAAATATCTGTTAATAGCGTAACAGATAAAAACAATTGTGGTACACAGGGTGGGGCAAAAATTGGTTTGCAGTTGTAAGTACATGAAACTGTTTATTATTGTATTATTATTAATTAGTATTATTTTCCATATGGACAACTGTAAACCTACTTTAATATTTTTTTATTTATTGATTTGAGAGAGAGAGAAACATCAATTTATTGTTTTACTTATTTATGCATTCATTGGTTGATTCTGGTATGTGCCCTGACCAGGGATTGAACCCACAACCTTGGTGTATCAGGACAATGCTCTGAGACCAACTGAGCTACTTGGTCAGGGCTGTAAACCTTCTTTTGCCCCACCCTGTATTTATATAATAGAATGCTATTCAGCAATAAAAAGGAATAAGTTACTGATACATGTATCAACATGAATGAATGAATATCACAAACATTTTGTTGAGAAAAAGAAGCAAGACACAAAAGAAATTACACCTCATGGTTTCATTTATATGAAGTTCCAGAGCAATTTAATCTATAGTGACAGTGTCAGAATGGTGGCTATCTTGTGGCAGGGAGCAGTTTATCTGGAAAAGGGACACAAGCAAACTTTCCAGGGAGATAAGAATGTTTTTTATCTTGATCTGGGCAGTGGTTACACACAGTGTGTACATATGAAAAAGTTATTGAGATGTTCACTTAAGAGTTTTGTTTTCCACTCTTTGTAAATATCATCTCAGTGCATAAAACGTGGGAAAGAATGTTCATGTTACACTTGCATACCTTTATGCCCTTCCTCACTCTAATCCCTCTACTTACAATGCCTTTCTCCATTTATTTCCAGGACTAATTACTGTGCATCCATGATGACCAGCAGACCCCCCTCAACTGTTACTACTGGATAAACATAGACTCTCTCTGGAAAGATGAACAAACACAGGGAAAAAAAAAGGAAAACACAAAATTCAGAATTTCAAAAACAGGCATATGATCAGAGAAAATTAGTATTCTTTAAAACTAAATTTCCGTAAACTGAGAATGTTTTAGGGAAATATTTCTCCTATATGTTTTCAATGACACTTGGGAAGATGCCACATTTATAAATGTAGTGGACTTAATTATTTTTTATTTTTATTTATTTTTTCCATTACCATTTATCCCAGCATACCCTCTTCCACCTCCATTCACCCAACTGAACTATTTTTAAAAAATACAAGCTAAGATTAGGAAACATTTTTGGATTGCTGAATGTTAAGATCAGTAGAGAGGGTAAACAGCATATTGGGAATTGAAGAAAGCTAAATATGTGGATTAAAAGCTTGAAAGTTCAGCTCTAATTTAGAGAAGAAAAGATAAAGGGTTAAAACTGTGAAAGAAGAGGTGAACTGTGACTTTAGAGTACAGAGAGGTAAGACATGTAGAATAGTAATTCCACAGGGAGAGAGGGAAAAATTTAAATATTTCTCTGAAGTGAAGAAAGATTTGCATCCTTTACTCAAAATCACAACTTTTCCAATAAAATACAAATTACCAAAAACAATGTAAAAAAATACACAGTGTCTGAAATTTATAAATTAGCAAAGAAATTCTCTCTTGAGAGGTGCCAGGCCTTGACAGGTACGTGGGTGACTGCTGTCTAACTTTGAAGGACAGAACTGTGCTATGCTTTTAAAATCTACACTGCAGTAAGCCCTGGCTGGTGTGGCTCAGTGGACTGAGCACCGGCCTGCATACCAAAGGGTCCCTGGTTCGATTCCAGGTCACATTGTATACCTGGGTACAGGTCCCTTGTTGGGCCAGGTCCCTTGTTGGGGCACAAGGGGCAACTGATCAATGTTTCTCTCTCACATATTGATGTTTCTCTCCTTCCCTTCTTCTCTCTCTAAAAATAAATAAACGAAATCTTTAAAAAAATTATCAAGTTTGCTTACCACAGGGATGGGTGGGAATGGTGTGGAAAGAATGGGGGAGCAGGAACAGGGGGAGAAGGGGTGGATCAAACGGCAGTTCTCTGAGTATGCTTTTCCATGTG